ATTACAAGGAGTTTGCTTTGATTTTTCTACTTTTCCTTATTATTACAATTAAATATCATTGATATTATTATTTCAACAAGTGATCATGATGAAAAAACATTTCGGTCTTATTATTCATGTAATGCAATACTTTGTTTGACTGAAATTAATTCTCTTTTCTTTTTTGAAAATTAAACACGTATTAGTCGTGCAAACGAAATGTAGTACATATAACTATCTTGATTTCTTCTTTACTACTTAAAACTAAAGTAATACTTACTCGGAAATCCTGTCAGCTATTAAACAATTAGAAATTAACTAAACTGGTGGTGTTTTGTTCTCTGAGCTGGTTGTTTTGGTTGCGGAGCTTTCATTGTTCTTCTGAACAACATCATCAGCACTGAAGTTTGTGCTGAATAAGTTTGGCGAATAATCATGAAAATCCTAATAATGTAGTCGATTCCGAGGTGCATGTCATGACATTTCGACCTGTCTCATTTCCCTCACCACAGGTCGGTCGCTTATTTTACGTGCACAGTTATCGTACAAACGCTAGGTACCTGGTGGACGCAGGTGCAAAAGCTTCTTTCGTATCGTCTGGTAGCAGTAAGTCTCAAGCTATGATGCTTTGACTATGAACTGCAAATGGCTATGTCATTCCCACCTACGGTACCTGACAGCCAATGATCGATCGGAATCTTGGGGACGTTAGATCTCTGGAACTCACTTGAAAAAGGCACTAATTTTGTAATTTATTTCTGAAATTTTGAAATTTTATGTTTTCGGTGCAAAGACGCTCACTTTATTTACCTCAGTTTATATTTCTCACTCAGAATTCCTTGACTGTCATTTGTTCATGGATTATTTTAGTGTGCTATTTTATGGCTCTCACCAGGGCTTTTTCATGTTAAATGACATCTGAACTATCTACCGATGAAACTTCAGTCTCACGTAAAGATCAGCAGACCATTCCACCTTTGACTTCGATTGAGTTTGCAGTTCAAGCTCCCGACCACTAGGTTTGAACGAGATAGCCGTCTCACATTCCGGTCTCCAGGCACATATAATTGCCCGCTCTCGCAATTAGCCTCTCAAAAAGCTAAGTATAAGGTATAGGGTTCTAAACCTCACTGCGAGGTTGCTACACCTTTTCCTTTTACTGTGATTTCTTTTATCCTGAGCTTTCGCTTCTGACTACGGTCCATTAGGTACCTTCGACTTTACCCAAACTTGGCAACTTCTGGTCTGATCACCCACTTCTTTGTCAATCAACTTGGTCGACCCTGCGGTTCTGACTACGTCACGTATACGTACGATCCCGACCCTTGTTATCTTGGTCACTTCCGGTGCCTCGGCTCAACTTGGTTTGGTTTCCTGGTCCAGGAACCTACGAACGCCATCCTCAGATTTCGGATATAATGCACTCTATTGTGGCACGCCAACTTGAGCAGCAAACATGGCACGTTACCATTGGTACCCTTCATTGAAGACCTTTGGTGACAACTCGAGCATCATGGGTCGCTTTCTGTTCGCCAAACCTTCCGTCCTACGACCGCACGTTCTCCCAATCAGTCTCATCAACAAAGCCGCTTCATGCCCAGAGTGTTCACCTTTTCAAGCAGAGGGCTATTCTAGTGCCTTCATTTTTTATTAAGAAAATGCGATCGGTTGAATAGGAACATTCACTAATATAACTAGCAGCACCGGAGTTTGTATAGGAAATTGTAGCTATATTACGACGATGGCCACGTTGAATGCCTTTGCTGGCAGAAATCAGAAGTTCAGTTGTAATTGGAATGAAGGTATCTCGTGGTATCGAAATAATACCAAAACCCATCCAAGATGTGCAAGTGAGACTACCAAGCCTCCATGAGCATGCCCAAGGTCAATAAAGGAAGGAAAATGTCCGTTTTGGGTACAATTAAGCAAATGAGTACAGTAAAAGAATCACTGGTACAACTGGTTATAATAATAAGTGTTCATATTAAACCAACTGCGTTCTTTTCATAAAAGTGGGCTAACTACAGTTGTCTTTCCGTACTCCTTTTTTATTTGCACTTTTTGTACAACACTTTCCTGCTGAACGGTTGTCACTTTGTTTCTGCTACCCTGTACCTCTTCATCCATTTTCTTTGGCACGATTTCAGTATTCTTCTAATACCACGGAATCGCTAACAAATATACTCCTTAATCCAGGCTATAACAACTTCCCCGTTAGTAGTTCACGGAGGGATGAAGATTCAAGACCAGAGCCTGATTGGTTTGTAGTCCTATTCATAACCAATCTCGACTGGAACCAGCACACTGTCATGACCAATTTTTGGACTTACTGAAAATTAGTTCGTTTATTTACTCTGATGAGTGCAAAATCGATTATTTGATCGGCCATAAAACAAATTGATGCGACAGATGATGATAGTCTGTGACGAAAACCTTGCCTATCAGCCCAGTTATTTTTACTGTAAATGCCTGACTCTGACAAGGAACAAATAGGGAAACTTACTGATTCTGTTCAGATTCGCATTAAGATTTTAGTATTATACATTCATATGGAAATATTTATACGTTGTTGCTTTTTAGTGTACTAGCACCATTTTGTTAACTACTACTCACTATTGCCCAAAACTTAGTCGACTAGAGATCAGTGTTAGTTGCACAGTTAGACTCTGCCTAGCTGAATGTGATCACCGTCACAGAAACCTAGCTCATTCGGTCTGTGGACAATAAAGAATTTGATTTCGAAAGTTCCACGTCAGCTAGATCCGTCAGAAACCCAAAAGACCAGTACCTAAATTCATTTGAAATGAAATCTCGTTCGATGTTTTCAATACCATAACTCATGAAACCTAAATGTGTTATTTCTTTGGCTGCGCATAAGATACAAAAGACGAGAGTAGCTGGTCATTTTACTCAATTGTCGTTCAAACTATGGAATCAATACATAGTGGCCATCGTTAACCGAAACTTAAAATCAAATGAACAGTGCCATGCAGTGATACTAAAGTCATTGAAACCTCATGGTTAGTATAGAGAACCTTTGTTCATGCCGGGAGTGAAACATTTTCGACACTGTATCCAGATATTGGATATTGAAATGTTGTTAGCAAATTACGCGCGGGGACGACTTTAATGTAAGCCTGAACAGTAGCGCCCATTCTGAAAATGCCGAATACGCGTCTTGATAGCTACTTCCGCGTTAGTAAGACAGCTCAAAATGTACGACAGGCCAAAAGAACAATACATGAATCTTCTCCTGAAATAGAGGTAGTTTATGAGGTTCCTGACTGTTTATATATTGTTATTAGATATCCAAATCAAAGCGACCAGCGTATCAACGTTTTTCTCACCTTACGAAACCAGCTGAAGTTTCTGTTTCTGAAACCAAGACAGACAAAGTTACTGGCATACTTCCAGATGAACAAAGTGAAGTTCGGAGTAGTCCTTCAGTATGCTTACCGCCTCAGGAAAAGGTGAGTTTCACCTCATATTTTGTAAAGACGGTTACGTAGGCTTCTGTGTATGTGCATTTTTAGTGCCTTAACTGATCCTAACGACTTTTCCTGAGATACTTGCCACGATTGCTATAGTATCACTTTGAAGCAGTTAACCGGAGAGATAAAAATATTGTTATAATATCTTGCAAAATCCTAGGAGTACATTATGATTACGCTCTTTCTTACCCAATATTGTACAGTATAGTATATTTTCCCTGAAGTATGAAGGGAAATTCGGCTTTTACAGAAATTAATTGCTACTTGAATGTATTTACTGGTATCATCAGTGTTATTAATTTCCAAAACCGGCTGGCTTAAACAGGTAACATCTAATAAGACTATTGCTAGAAAAAACTGGAAATTAATACAGTCGTGAGATATACATCAACCAAACTAAGCCTTAATTGGATGAAAAATCCCAGCCTACGTCATATTACTTTTGTTGTCAAGCTTTAGAAATCACCCTGAATGATACCAATTCTTCGATTGCCATCGAAGCTGAAATGAGATATATTAACCATGAGATAAAATGAAATATCTTGGTGAATGACTTACTTCAATCTATGATACCACTTTGAGATTTTTTAAACTGTTCTGTTTCGTAGTATGGACGTAGTAAATAAATCTTGTTTTTACGATTGATAACCATTTTAGTTTCTGATATTTACGGTGAAATATAATTTTTATATTTTTTGAGGTAAGAGTAGAGGAAATTGTTTTGTGTACAACTAGATGTTCAGCTAGATGTTCGTCTTATCGAATATTAAGATCCCTACTGCTATAGTAAGGAGTAAGCATATATACTAGTATCCTGACTTTACCTCATTATCAACCTTAGTTTCAGGGGTTTATATATGTTTACCATGGTGCAGCAGTATATCTTTCAACTAAACTTTACCAGTAGACTCAGTTTCTAATCGGGTATGCATCATTTTCACCAAGTATTTCAAGTGTTATGGTGTGAACAGTATTATTGATTTTCAGTTTAGTTTTTATTTTCGGTATCTTTATGATTAAAAATCTATCATTCGTATTAATTTATCTGTTCTGATTTATTAATCATCATCACTTTATATTGTCATTCTTTGTTTTGCAAGAGTTTTGCTTCTTAGTTATAACAAAATCAACCGTTTCTTCTTACTCCTCTTGTCAGTATAATTTCGCACTAACATATTCAAAACTGTTGCAGTTAATTATTCTAGTTAACAATTTACCAAGGCGTCTCAGAAAACTTTATTACTAATTATTGTTTGCGGTTAAACCGAATCGATGTCTCATGTTACTCCCTTTTTACGAAAGTACAACTGACACTTGATGAAAACTAAATTTTTTAAATCATTAACTTTTCACTTGGTTACACTATACCATTTGAAAACTAGGGGTTTTCATGTTTACTTGGTTTTTTTGTCTTTTATAGACTGTCCTACAGCCGAAGAAACCTACACAACCGAAGAAAGTGATTAAGTTGAGATCAACTCGGTCATCAGACTTAGTATCAGAAAATAATTTGAAGCCACCCGCATTTAAACGGTTCGCTTACTTAGCAGAACCTGTCTCTTCACCGGAACCACAGTCGACTGAGCTAAAAACCCCTACTGAAACTTCTGAGAGTGTGTTACCTTCCAAGGATCTTGATCTAGCACAAACCGATTTAACAGTTCCTACTGGTCTTGTCCTTCCTCACAACTTGCGAGTTTTGTTGGAACTTTTTCGGAGCTGTGATACAGTTGTCAGCATGCTTCACAATAGAAAAGAACTTTGTAGTTTCGATAAACTCCAACCAGCAGTTCAGAAAATAGTGCAGAGGTAAATTAAACTTCGTTTACTGTCAATAATTGGTTTCCAGTAAATAATGTGGTCAGTGAGTTACATTTTGAGTTAATAGCATGCTCATTGAGAACTACAATTGAGAAGAGTTTCATAATTCTCCCATATTGTCTATTTCTAGATGCATGATATGCTTATTCCTTTTACTATAATCACCATGTGGAACTTAATGTAGAACTTAATCTACTTCACTTATTTGTGTATAAGTTGCTTTTACTTTATGCAGTAATTATGATTAGCACTCTGTAGCGCTTATGTATGTGACTATTTTCATTTGCCTTTTCCTTTTTATGTCATTTAGGAATTTTGAAGAAACTCATGTTGGTCAATTTTTAACTGTTTATCCCATGGCTTATTTACTCCGTTATGTGAAACACATTGATAAATTCACACATCGATCAAACGGGAATTATGTACTCATATTAACGCCTAATTTACGTACTGGTATGTATTCAAATTTTTTCCGGTAATAAAGTCAACGTTTTCATTTCTTTTTTTGACACTTGAAATTAATTTGTGGTTCTGATCATTACATCATCATTTCATGCTGCTTTCAGGTGGTGTGAGAACCAAAGATTCGATAGTAGTGTGGGTGAAACGATGTATTGGTTCGCGATACAAACTTGTTTTAATTTAAATCAGCTTTTCCTTTCATCCTCCATTGGATGCGAATCTTTCAATCAGTCATATAAGTTTTCGAATTGAGGTTCTGTGTTATTTCTTTTGGAATCTGTTTTATGGGCATGAAATTTGAATATGAGCGACTAAGCTTCTGCTTTTGTGTGATATATATACATGTATTCTAATCTAAATATTTATGTCTCAATGTAGCACTTCCTTTTTTATGTTTATTGACTTTATCCCTGAAAATTTAGGTATCTAATAGCTACCTATTATTTATAGAATATATCCGTGTGTCATTATGTACTTGCTTACAACGCAGTTATATTGTCGTGTTAATTTTTAAATTTTGACTAAGAAATACTTTCTCATTTCAGATGGAACACAAGTTGGACATGATTCTCCGTCAAAAGGATTTCTTCCATTCAGTGGAACACGGCTAATTCAACGTCGAAATCGTTTCCACTCACTATTACTTAATCTAGTTTTAAAATCACATCGGGTTAGTTATTTTGTAAATTAAGTATAGTTATTTTTATACGCATATGTAAATTGGTTAGTTTATAGCCTTAAGATAGCTTGCTTATCAGTTTCCACTTATTTATGAATCTTAATTCTAAGGAAAACATATATGTCATATGTCCTCAACTAATTTTCTGACTTCAAACTGTAGCTTGTACCTTGAAACGATGGTCAAACCTGGCTGCTGTACTGAATCGATCAAGTTCTATCGACTAAAACATTTGTTCCTTGTGGTCTTCATATTCTTTGCAGGTCAGTTTCCGAGTGGTTTGAATACGGACAGAGTAAGGTTGTCCTGTTAACTATACTGAGGTGTTATACCAGTAGTATTTCCTACGAACAACCGATACCCCTGGCAATTCTGCATCCCCACAACAGAAAGAAAGGTTTGGAAAACGTTGGTCTTAAAAGTAACACATCATCTTTCGCTCTATAAAGTTCTGTTGTCAGCGACAAAATATCAAAGTAGTGAGCTAATATATTAGGAATCACCCTATGTTTTCAGCTTTACGATTACACGGCTGTATTGATATGACTAGTACTTACATAGGTTATATTTCAGTTTCTTCTGAAAACCATATAATTCCACTGTTTGGGTAACCTAAAGTTTCGACCATCCTCCATACCTGTAACAGCGCTAGAGTTATTCCTGAGTGACCACTTTTTTCGCGTCACACAAACAATACATCAGTAGTATTTAGTTAGCAAACATCCATAATGGAATAGTATTTAACTTCAGCGTACATTATATAACTAACAAGAACTCATAACCTGGGTTCATATAATGACCTTGTGATCATTGATTTAATCGACAGTTATTGTGACATTTGTTATTGATTCAACTGACGTGATGATTATCCATGTTAATTACTGTTTGGTTCAAAATAATTTGCAATGGTGTAGGGGCATTCATTCTCTGTGTTCTCTCAAATCTTAACCTTCAGAGTTCCTCATCACCTTTATCTTTTTCTTTTTAAGCTTCTTTCACTAGATTCTACTTCTTGAATAAAATCGTCGAACTCTAATCTCTCCGATTATTGCCAATACTTTTACTATCTCTGATACTATGGGATTCGAATTGACGACTGTGTCTCTGCTAATTTTGTTTGGCGACTTAAACTGGTGTACGTACGTACGTACGTACGAAGTTCTACGTTGCTGTTGATTGATGGATTGATTGTTATTCACTGTGATGATGTACAAATGAAAACGTCATGCGTAGTAACAAGTCTGGAAGTTTAACTACGTACTTTCAGCATTTATACTGAACTAAATAAAATTCTATAAAAGGATGTTACATATAGAAAGTCCTTAATTTCTGAAGTATATCGGACTAGTTACTTTAATATACATTCGATAGTAATATAGGCTTTATACTACAGAAACATTTAATCATTAACTTACTGTAGTTGCATTTGGCTATAAATTATTTGATATTTTAGATATTTTTAACATCGGAGCTTGGCATCGATCCCTCTAAACTTCCAGAAGATTCATCTCTTCGTCGTTGGCATCCGAAATTTCCTTTAGAATCTGCTATTCCCCCGATAGCTTCATCACCATTGCCTATTCGACCATCAGATTTTGAACAGAAGATTATCACAGCAAAAGATGCTGTTAAAGCATTTCAAGCTCGTGCTCTATTTCGTGAAGCTGATACATGTCATCAGATATCTTTGTCCAAACAACAACTTTCTCCTATACCAAGTCCAAAAAAAACTGTCGCTGCATCACCAATTAAAATATCCACTAAACAAGATAGTACAGACAATCTTGTAGGCACTCAAACAGATTCCAATGAGTCTAACAAAGGAATAGTTACTTCAACACCAAGTAATTTAAAAGGCATATCTTTAGCACTTCTCAATAAAGTAAGCGATATTATTATCCATATTTTTTTCCAGTTAGATTGATTACCATGCTCATAATTGTTGTGTTTGTTTGAGTGCATTGTTTTTTCTTCATTTTGAAGATTCTTTAATATGTTTACTTTATATGTAACGATTTGCTACTTCCTGTTGTTAGGTTTAGGCACATCTAACTGACAAGTTGTGATTAGGACAACACATGCGTCCTTGATTACACTTTTACCTACATAACAAATGTTACTGGAACTTGAAACATTGATTTTTACATGCCTTTTGTCATAGATCAAAGGATTCGTCAACATATCTATGCTTCTGTTTTTCTGCCTTGAACGACATGGCTGCAATCGTTTGCAATGCAGTGCATCCATTCATTGTGCTCTGTCAAATCCTAATCTTCTGGATTCGTCAGCACCTCTACCTTTGTCTTTCTAACCTTATCTCACTGAATTATACTTCTTGAATAATATCTTCAAACCGTAGTCTTCTTCATTACCATTAATACCTCTGCTATCTTTATCACTATGAGACTTGATTTGACATTTGCGTCTCTGTGTTAATGTGGTATGGCAACCTGAACTTATGTACATACGTAACAGGTTCTACGTTGCAACTGACAACTGACTCTGTTTTTCTGTGCTTATCATTGAACAAAGACATCCTTTGGTTTTTAATTCTTTTCACTGTACTCGTAAAATTAATTTTGAGATATTATGTACAAGTTTTATTTATAAAAATGTATCATTTAGGGCTTTGTTTTTTTTTCAAAGGTGCGTGCCCGAGAAAATGAGCGACGTCTTCTTACTGAACTTACTTACGGAAAAGTTTCAGAGGCAAGACGAGCTATATACTGTCGTTTACCGTTAATAGTAACTCAAGTTTGGAGCATTTTACGTTCGTCCAATGCTCGTCCAATTCCATTATCAACTGTTGCTGTTCGTGTGGCTGACTCTCATCCTAGTGGAATTTCTGCAGGTAAATACAATTATCATACAATGTGTTAGTCAGTTTTTACTACTAATGCGAAATCATTATAATCTCAAATTATACAATCAACAGATAGGTGATCAAGTTAAAGGAATATTTTCTTCATACTGCAATTTTTTTCCATCCATTTTTACTGCCATATTCTATTCCTGTTGGGGTACTCTAAAAGCAGCAAGGTTTGTCAGAATTGCTGGGCTTTTTTCTGCAGTCAGTAAGTCAGTTACGACGTAGAACTTCGTACGTATCTACATCAGTTCAGGTTGCCATACCACATTAGCACAGAGACGCAGTTGTCAATTCAAATCCCACTGTAATAGAGGTAGTAGAAGTAGTAGTAGTAGTAGTAATCGGAGAGATTAGGGTCAGGGGTGTTAAGCTATTCATCCAATATCCTAAGATAATTATTAGTCAGTTCCTATCGGTTAATTCCTACTGGTCAATTTTATAGTCGTCCTAGATATCAAAGTCATGTACTCCAATGTTATTTCCTGATGGTCGCCTTAACTGTCAATGTCACAGACTTTGATGCTGTTTCACATTCGACCTAAATGTATAAATACGCATTATCTGTAACGTTTTATGACCCGGATCTCTAGTGCGGGATTCTGGTTCTCTTCTGGACTCGGACGTCGTACTTTCTGGATTCAGGTTCTACTTCATATCAAGACTTCTTCTTGTTACTCAATATTGGGGTCGGGACACTCGGATTAGAGTAGCATGTCGTGTCGCCTGATCCTCGATCCTCGCTCTCGTTTTCCGACTAAGGTAAACTCGTAATAATTCAAGCGTATCGAATTGACGTGTCTACGTGCAACCTAACGGGGGAAATTATTCAAGAAGTAGAACCTTGTGAAATGTCATGATAGTATACAGATTTGTTGTCATGCTCTTCATATTTTATTTACGTTATCAGTGTAACAGGACGCTTTATTTCACTGCACTTTGTCCAACTTAACAGGCGACCGTTCTTACAGGTGGATTGGTATAAAACGTCTCATCCTCATGAATATCTAATTTTTTAGAAGCTACACCGAAACGTTCTAATACTATATCATCGTTAAGCATACGAAGTGTTTTTGCTAATGAATAGATTGATTCAGTCAGTTGTATATAAATAAGATCTTGCACAAATGTCAAATGAATTTAAATTGTTTCACTATATCAGCTTATGAAGATAAAATTGACAGGATAATAAACAGAAGTTGGGATAATAATAATAATAATAACAATAATAATAATAATAATAATAATAATAATAATAATAACGGTTGTTAAATTCACTAAAATAATGTACTCGAGTTAAGCCGAAATCAGAAGACTGTCCTTTCTTCTCTGAAATACTTATCTATATAAAAGACATAATAGATGGTTCTGGAATAAATGACGATTAGTTGAAGTTAAGCTCACAGTAAAGTGCAAGAATTGTATTCAAAGTGATTGTTTAAACAGAGTATTAGTCAACTAATAAAAACAGTTCGTCGTCACTAGTTAATTTACATAAAAAGAAAGAAAATAATAATATATTCTGATTACTCATGAGTAGTACAGTTATAACACAATTCCACATCGATAAAAGTAAAAACATTTGGAGACAAAGGATATTTTTTTATGATCTAAGCAGTCTAACATGGATTCATAAACTAGTTGGTCCATTTATCTTTATCTTCCAACATACACTAGTCAGGATCTCGTGGTACGTGATGGCTAGAGATGCTTAATTTTTTTGTCCAACCTACTTCTTTTCATTGAAGTTCATAGCCTCATTAATAAAAATTAATTAAAATAAGTCTGCAAAAAATACACTCAATCGGTATTTTTGTCTGCAGTTTTGGAAGCAAAATCATCTGAGTTTTCTACGTTGTTATGCTAATGAGAATTGAAGCAAATATTTACATCATTGGTCTTTGTCTTAATTTGAATTTCTTTTGTCATTTTTGATAAATAGTAACTGGAACAATTATATTTTAACAAAATATTTTTTTCTACAAAAAGATGGTTCTAACATTAAATATGATGATTTCAGCCTATATGAAGAAATAACCATAAGATTCTTTGATAATGTTTACTAATTAATTCTTGAAGAAACTTGAATTAAACTGTAAAATATAATACTGGCCTTGTATTTCACTCCTATCATCACCTGGATTTTCGCAAATAAAATTGTATCTTATCATCTTTAATTGACTGCTGGGTATCAAATTTTAACGAAAGCTCCATGTAGCATTAGTCTAATTATCTAACATTAGTAACTATCAAGTAGAAAAGGTTTGGTAGATAATTTCATTTGAGCTTACTACACATTTAGTGCTTCGTCCCAGATAAGGACAGTTGCCAGTCTTCGATACCACTGATAGCCAATCTGTCTGTCTGTTCTATAAAATTTATAACTAAATTGATATCATCAAAGTAATCTGCACATATATTATCAACAAAAAACTGACCAATAAACTCAGTCCTGAATATGAAAAACGGGATAATTCAAGTTGTTATTATCATGAGTCAGGTTCTCCCATTTACACTCATAGATTAAACAGATTCTTATTAAAATTTATATATTTTCTTAACGATTCAAATTGCTTATAAGTCAATCGGGAACTCACTTAATACTCTCTCATCCTGATTCTTTCTTCTGTGATTTTTCTTTATCCTTACTTATAGATGCTATCAGTGAACATTTGGATGTGTTATTAGAGCTAGCTCCATGTTGGATAGAGAAATTGAATTGGTCCACTGTTCATCTTCGATTGAAAGATCCAGAACGATCAGTGAAAGATGTTATCGATTTGATCAGATCAAAAGTTGCTAAAGATGGTGTGAACATTTAGTGTGCATTTGTAACTTTTTTTTTCTTGCTTTTATATATTTTAATGATTTTATTGTCGTGATCAGTATAATGCATTTATGTGTTTCAGTCAGTGTGTGTGTGTATGTGTACTTATTTATTTACTGTTATTTATAGTAGTAGTATATCATTTTTTATACTCCTCATCATTCTATGTATTTTAGGTATTTTCTGCTGTCTACTTCACTTATTTTTCATGGTGATTGACCTTTGTACGCATATATATATATATTATATATACGTATGTATAATTGTCTTCTTTTTAATCCTTCAATTAAATGGTACTGTAATCATGCTTTTTGTATGTAGTTGTTACCATTCTTAGTAGTCATATTGTGGTGTGAGCTACTTATAAGTAGTATATGACGTGAGTGTCTGGCAGCAGAAGATGGGGGAAGATCAAGAAATGAAGAGTGGGAACACAATGGAATTTGTATGAAACGCATGAATAGTGACAATGGATTGATGTTTTGCAACAGGAACAGTCCAGTTCGATAGGATGGACTGATAATTTGCAAATGAACGATTTACGATATGGTTTTCCTATTTTACTGAGCAACTGTAGTTTTCGCTAAATACAATCCGGTTGACCCATCTGTGTTCTCGTTCACTACAATGTGACTGGATGATTAAGTTGTAGGTTTAGAAATCTGGTTTTCACGTTATTCAATTTATTCAGATGTGATTATTATAATTTGAGGAGTAGGGAGACCCTTCTGTGAAAAAGTTTGGCTTACTGTCGATTATCTGAATATCACGATGTAAAGTAAAGATAGCTTACATAAACAGTTATCTTTTGACTTATTAGTAACTAATTGTAAATGCACGGGTACGGCTGAGAGCACAAAGAGTTTGCTCTGTCTCCTCAAATGCTCTCATATTGCCACGCATATACAGCCACTTTCAGGGAAGTCCTATTGACTGTCTTCTCACAGAGGAGATGTTGTTTACAAAACTAATATAACGAAAGGCGGATGTCTGGCGCTTTAACCGCGTTAGTTGGTATGGTGGATCTACCTAGAGGAGTTGTAAAACTCTGAATCCAAACTAATAGTGTAAATGAGCTCAAGGGTTTTGAAGAAACAAATAGAGGATGATCCGATTGTCGATCATCAGGTACTATGGGACTACATCTCCTGAAGTTGCTCCACTGCCTTGGGGATTTCTACGTGGAAGGTTCGGGATTTGTCACCCTAAAGAAACCACTTGCTTCGGTTTCGGCATCCGGACTATATCGTAGCCCATATACGAATTCAATAATTTGTGTGGTTCATAAAAAGTTTGGTTCCCCTTCATGTAAATGTTTTTGTTTACGCAATAATAAAGGTTTGTACTTAACGTATTCTGCTCACCATTAGGTTTTATTATGACTTCCCTAGAAATGGCTATGTACGCGTGGCTATATTGGAGTATTTTGAGAAACGAGTTTGGACTCTCTACTTTCAACCATACTAGAGAGCATTCGATGACTACAGTAAAAAGAATAGCCAAAGCTTTTATTCTCAGTATCTTTAAAGCCAACCAAGTTCATGCTGATTGCAATTATTGCCGGTTTTACAATAATCTACAGCATTATAATAGCCTACTGACTCATGTGTTTTATGATTTCGTCTGGTTTTACAGCACTAGAACATATCAAATTTTTAGCCTGTATAATAAACAATGTGGTACACTGGCTTCACTAGTATTCTCATTTCAATCCCATATATCATAGTTAGCAATAGGATACTTGGTTATTTAAGCTGACATTGATTAACAAAATTCGATCTCAGTTCACTGAGTACATATTCGTGTGTACGACTTCGAACTACACTCTAGACGTGTGAAAGTTAGTGATACTACTCGGTTGTCTAGAATTGAGTGGGTGGGGCACGGTCTGGATCTGTGACTGACAGTCGAACCCTAAGTGACTGTCGCAGTTTGGTATTAGGTTGTTGTTTGTGGGACATAGATAGAATTGAAGCATGACTACGTTGTTACGCGCTGATTGGCTAATTTCCCATCCAATCAGCGCCTGATAGATTCTTGGAAAACAGGGTAGAAAATTCTCGTATTGTTAGCTGCATGCTGATTGGCTAAATCTAATCCAGTCGATCACGTGAATTTCTATCCAGAAGCTCCTCATGTAAATGCTATAAATAAACTAACATTGTATCTATGTTTGCCTTCGCCTTCACCATCACCTTTGGCTTCTTATTTCCATTTAACCTTTCTATTTGGAATATAATCTTTTCCTGTTAAACCGTGTTTTTGATTCTTTGGAACTTGTCCAGTGTATTGTGATCAGAGAATACTAAGCAATAGGATTTAGCTGGGAATCATCTAAGCAAGCGTTACAACAGTTGTCGATAATATAATGCGTTTATTTTAATAGAAAACAACATTATTTCCTGAAAACTATCTAAATATGTAGCTGTGTTCCTGTAAAAGTTTAGTTGAAGTTTATTTCTGAATAATCCTGAGACTAAAGTATTTCCTTTCTCGCTTTCTTTAAATATCAGTACGATCTGAAGTCCTATGAAAAGGGTACTAGGTAAGGATGGCGCGTTAATCGATGAAGTAGTGACTCTTCATCAGCTGGTTGGGAAATATGTTACGTATGCCTAACCACCGACTATCTCGACGAGAGATGTTGGATGATGTAGGGGTTGGCCGGAAAAAAGCTAGCATTAGCTAAACCAAAACATGGCACAAATCTATGAAGTCATTGACAACTGGTCTGAGCTACGATTGGGGTCCGCTAGACAATCGTAACTGGTGGTTAGGGTCTCAATGACATGGTTCAAAATCGTATGGGATAGCGTAGACATATCCATTCTTTATCTTCCTTTAAATTCTGAATTCCTTATGACTTTATCTTTAAATTTATTTCACCGATTTATATTTTCTCGAATCAAATCTTCGATCCTTAATCTTTTCGTTTACTGCTTATATTTCTACTACTTCTACCATTATGAGATTGGAATTGAAAATTCCATCTCTCTATGCTAATATTACATACGTACCAAGTTATATATTGCATCTGGCTGACTGACTGAATAGCACCCGACATTAATAACTTACAGAGTGTGAGCACTTATTTACAGTATCATACAATTGAGTATTCACGACCTTAAGATATGATTGGATGTCATAGACAATGGGAAACAACTAATTTCGTGTATCAATTTTATTTCTGCATGATGAAATTAACAAGGAGTTCAAGTAATAATGATGAGAGTGACTAAACAGTGAGAATAAATTTCAAAAAGACAATAAAAAGGTTCAGACAAAGGAATGCTTGGACTGCAAGTGTGAAGCAAAACTAAGTGTCTATGCATCTGAGTGATTGCAACCGGTTCTGAACTCAGTCGTACGGACTCCAACTGAGTCTTAACCTACCAACATAATTGGTGCCAACACCCCTTAGCCTTCTTCCCGTCTACACTGGCAAACACTTCCAGTTAAGGTAGGTAGTGGTCAGGTATATATTTGTCCCGACCACACTGGTCGATGGGGATTCACAACTCCATTAAACGTCTTGGCCTTTCGCTTTACACACTAGATTCACGATAAGTGAGTGAAGGTTGTGCATTCAACAGAATTTCATCAACATAAAAGCTTTACCACCAATATAAGTGATATGTTTTTGTTAAGCATTTAGATGAAGATATTTACTGTTTGCTGTCGATTCTCATATGAACAAACTAAAGATCGTTTTCAAATAGAGTCACATAATTTATCCTAAATTGGGGATCAATATTATTTGAATAGTAACTTTTGAGTGCTTTAATGTACTTGTTTTTTTCATTTTATGTACGATATACGGTTACACTGTGGTCAGATTAATGTACTGTCTGGTATGAACAACAAAGTTTCAAGTATTATACAACTAATCTTGTATATTTTCATACTAGTGTTTATGTTCTAATTGAATAAAAATTTCCAGCATGTACACTATTCAAATAGTATTGCTTGTTCTAAGTACAAATTTATACTAAGTTATTAATCCATGGTATTCTCTGACTTTGTATTTGATTATATTGTCTCTACTACATGAAATCGGTCGAGTAGTCAGCATTGAGTTCCTCTTAGTATGTTTTACAGGTTCATCTGAATTCACTAGTTGAATGATGATCAACCATTGATAATTAAAAACATATTAAAGGTAAAGCCTTTTAGTAGCGTATTTCAGTTTGTTAGTATGAGAAAATATTTGTTATCAGACGGAGGAACTCTAGAGTCATACTTCACTATAGCTGAAGGAAGTATAAGATATTGGTCAACCTATTTACTAATGGATTCGATAAATGGCGTTTTAATGATGGCTAACTATTCTTTCTGTCCAACACTTGTCTTTTTACAACAACGACTCATCGATTGTATTGTATACTATGGTAACTAGTCGTCTATACAAAAACAATTCGTCATTTTGAAAACAATATTTCGCCAAATTGTTATTGAAAAATTAACATGATTGACATGAATTTGTCCTTTAGGATTAGTAATCACTATTATTTGCATAAAGTAATGTATTGACACTTTTGTGATGTAAAATGACGGCATTTAATAGACTAAACAAGAACAATACAGTAATCATCATTAGGATATGTAGAGTATTGCAAAGTATTATCTAGATGGATTTTCTCTCGGTGTTTTTTGATCGATACGTTGAGCCCCAACACGATATGTCGTAACTGATCCAATGCACGCAGACAATCACCGCAATAAATTCGATAGAAAACACGAGGTAATTCTAAAACGAGACGATTTTCAAGAATCTCAGAAAACTTCTAGAAGCATGACATTCACGTCAATGAAGAATGAATAAACATATCGATTCATACCCGAACAACCAGCCCATACGATAGAAGGCAAATCAAGCATAGAGACAGATGTTAAACGAATCAATATAGAGTTAACTTGAATACAATGAGAAATGAAGGCAAACAAGGATAAACTGATTTCATGCAAAAATGCAGTGTAAGTGAGCAGGAGTTTAAAATATTTTTGTATCTCTTACAAAATAACACTGGTTAATTGGAAAGTAAACCGTTTATTCATCTAAACACAAAAAGGAGGTACCAAGTATATCACCGTCATGCGATAAAAATGAGATTATGTAGAAATAGAGAGAGAACTGTGAGTACAACGAAAAAAAGTGAATACAAATTATTTTATGAGAGTAATAATAATTATTATAATGAGAGCAGTTCAATTACGAAAAATATAACCAGAAAGGATTTCTTTAGTCACAGAAGAAAATAAAAGAAAGTTACAGTAGGACCACCACTGGCTTCTATTCCAAACCAGTCCCAGAGTATGTGTGGAATTCGCTGAGATAACGTTCGCAATACATGTCCAAGTGACCGAAGTCGGTGTTTCAAGATGGCGACACTAACTGAATCATCATTATTGTATACGAACACACGTTGCCGACCCTCGGCATTACTAACACGGTGTTGCCAGTGAATGTCAACAATTCTTCGGAGACAACGATTATGAGACATAGTCGCTTAATATCAACACGGAGGCCAGGTTTTACAAGCAATGAGTAGCACTGGTCTAACCGACGAATTGTAGACCCAGACCGACATTATGATGGCGGCAAAGATGACCTACATTGGCATGGGACTCTCTGGATCTCACTACGTGAATTAATACCATCACTCATGCCATCATCGGCACTTACACAACTACCGAGGCACACGAACTTCCTGACTACTTCTCTCTGCTCACTACCAACAAAGCAAGTGCGGGGTCCTACCAGTCTTGTTAAATTACTTTGCACTTAGGAGCTGCAAAGCACATGTCATACCCATGGACACTTATTACCTACCGATTGCCTGCGCACTGCATGGCTTGGGTATCATCGCACACTAAGATAATATCATTCAAGGTCGAAAACTACCTCTCCAGGTTAGTGAATCACATTACCATTCCTTACATTGATCAGAGCTGTTTCTAGGACGTCGCTGATCGCAAAGTTGAGGAGGAATGGTGAAATTCAACAATTCTGCTCAGCTCCACTGCTTGAATGAAACAATGGAGAAGTGTTTGTATGCCTTTATTCTGCCCGAGGTGTTTGTGTATATGGCCTTTCATATGCTAGCAAACAATTCAGGCTCACTGTTCGTTAAAGAAGGGTGAAACGTTTTTAAAAATATGGACATCTATCGACTCATTCCACCACCATTTCGGAACACTCAAATTGCCATGATGGCTAATGAAAGATATGAACTGATGATCATCAATGCAAATTATAAAAATTATATTTTTTTTTGAAACTCCATACATTTTGAGCAATAAATCAGTATCATTCATTAAATATATTCAATCTCTATGTCTATAGATGATGATATAGACACAGAGTTTTATTTAGTTCAATGAATATGATTATGTATAATACATGTTGTGAAATGATAGAAAATCAGAAAAAGGCACAAAATAATCACCATATGAAAGAGAATATCAGCATTTATATGCTAATATGAAATAGCCGAGCAAATTTTGGAATCATAAGAAGTAGTACATGTACGAAAAGTGTACAATCATCTATTTGTTTTTTTTATAGAAAGAAATCAATGATCATCACGATTGTCTATTAAAAATAAATCACAAGATTGATTAAGAAAATTAACTTGTAGAAGTACGTTTAAGAAGAAAAAAAAGAAAAGTACTAAATTATCACACACACAATGGGTGGGTGCGGATTGGGTAGTGATGCGGTCATTGAGAAAAGGGAAAAAAATTAGTTTTAAAAAAAAATTATACAAACAAAAAATGGAATGATTTAGATAATTTGTTGTAGAGTTGAGTTAATAATCAAGAGCGGTGTGGACAAGTAATTAAAAAAGGCAATAAGTATGAAAATAATCAATGAGCAATGTGATTGGTATATGCATAACGAATCTGTAAGTTTTTAAGGCAGTAACAATATTATTATTATTATTATTATTAGTATTGAGTGTTCACAAGAGAATATATATATACGTATACATATTCAAAATAAGATAATACATAGATAGAGAGAGAAAAGCGAAATCAGTTAATTAATGTCAAAAGAATGCGCTGCTCGTTCTATTTGTTCAGCAATTTGATGATAGAAACGTGCTTGACCATGAAGATAATCTTTAATTTTACTGATCCATTCATCACGTATTTGATTCATAATGAAATTACATTCAGCTTGAACAGAACGTGTTATCACTAATGCACCAGATTGAATACGATTCACATCGGATTGACAAAGTTTTTGTTCATCAGTTGTGGTTGAATTATAACGATTTAATTCATCCACAGTAAGACATGCAGCTTTAGCTAAACTAATAATAGTTGATGTATTGGGTAGTAGACGAGCATATTCTTTTAAACATTCTAATAGATTGGTTGTTGCTTCTGACTAGAAATAAAGTTGCAAAAAACTACAGTATTATTTACAATTGATTGATCATACATAGTATAGTATACATGGTAAATGACCAATATCATGTAAACCTGTTGTTCGTTTCGTGGTGATTGAATCCTATTGATAAAATTACTACGTCACCAATAGTCTTCTTTGTTACTCGCAATTGCGTTTTGGTGTAAAGTAGTTAAAGATAGCCGACAAGAAATTCTGTTTATTTTGGGTGTAGTACTAGTTAGTACAACAGGGTATTGTTAAACAGAATGAAGGACTTCGTAGACGCCCAACTTCGAGATCAACAGGCCGGATTTCGTAAGGATCGATCATGTACTGACCAAATTGCTACATTACGGATCATTGTGGAACAATCAATTAAATGGAACTCACCACTCTACATCAACTTCATCGACTACGAGAAGGCATTCGATAGCGTGGATAGGAAGACACTGTGGAGGCTTCTTCGACACTACGGGGTGCCTGAGAAAATAGTTAACATCATACGGAATTCTTATACCCGACCGTAGCTGCTACCTTGACGTGGTGGTCGGGCTTGCCTATCGTGATGACCCAACCGAGCTATACTGGCTGAAACACATGTTCCTGCAGGTCCTACCATGCCAGGCAGGTCGATTGGAGAACGATGAGACTAAAAGCAGCTACCCAAGGTCTGAGGGCGAAGTCGTACTGCTGACTGCAGAGGGGTGTGACAGCAGTAAGGTGTTTCCCTCAGACAACCAGCATCTGCAGCGATGCTGCCTTCTCACAAGGAAGGAAGGGTTAGAAAATGTCGACGCTAAAATTGTCACACCTCCCCTACCTCACGGATTTCCGTCTCCTTGGGTAAGGGTGCCCACTAAGGGCCTTTAAGAACGGAGCTAATCCTCTAAATACCTTTTATAAAAAGGCCGTGCTTGACCGGCCTCAAGCAGTTGTCCGTTGGTCTCTGCGGTCACGCACCAACACTAATCCATCTTCCTTTTCAGGTCCCTCAAGAAACAACCTTCCACGGTGTGGGCAGCCGGGAAGTGACAACCGCCCTCATATCCGTAACAGCATGCGAGACCAAATCGGTCAAAATCAAATCCTTTCTACACCCCCTAATGTCTCTCTTACCTCTACGACTAACTCTACTCACACTCCCTTTTCTCACTGCACCGCTAATGCAGACGAAGCGAGTTCACGAAACGTCATTCCTGGTCTCCTGAAACCCCGTTCTAGACTACATGTTGGAGCTTTTAATGTACGGACATTGTGTCAAATAGGGCAACAGGCATCATTAGCTAGGACTTTAGAAACTCGTGCCATCGATGTATGCTGCGTCTCGGAAACGCGCATACAGGATCCTAGTAAAGTCATTAACCTGATTCCACCTTGTCAAAACGAAGAAGCAGCCCGATTCACTCTTCGTGTATCCAGTAGCCCTGATGCTGCTTTCAGGGGTCTTGCTGGCGTAGGCATAGCGTTGAGTCCTAGGGCAGAATTATCTCTCCTAGACTGGATCCCAGTAGATAGTCGTTTGTGCGCTGTCCGACTAAACGGGACAGTAAGGACTCGTAAGGATAGGGACAGTCGCCGTTGCTAGGCGCTCTGATATAGTAATAATGGCTGGTGACTTTAATGCTCAAGTAGGTAGACTAGGTGAAAAGGAAAGACATCTAGGTGGATGTTATGGTGTAGCGACTGAGAGAACAGACAATGGCGACCGTCTGTTGCAACTATGCTCAGATAACCGCCTATTCTTAGCGAACACCAACTTTAGGCATAAGGAAAAGCATCTGTTGACCTGGCGACCCCCGAAGTCGTCTCAACGTTGGACTCAACTAGATCACATCGCCATCAGCCACCGATGGAGGGGTTCGATGGAAGACTGTCGCTCGTTCTGCGGCACATGTTTGGATTCAGATCATGCTCTAGTGCGAGCTCGTATCTGTTTGAGGCTTACTGGACGTAGGAAAGACACCGTAAGGAAGCCTCATAGGGTTTTACTTAATGACAATCAAACCAAGAAAATAATTCAGGAGCAACTAGAAAGAGAGTAAAGCAACGATGTAAGTGATTCTCATCCACAAGCAGGTTGGTATGATATCAAAAAGGCTGTGGAAACAGAAGTGATATCCGCTAGGAAGGTAAACCATGAGGCTAGGATGAAGCCGTGGATTTCAGTCGCATCCACCGAACTGATGGATGCTCGAAAACGCATCTCACCTGACTCTGAGCATGACGAAGAGCGTAGTCAGCTTAGGCGCAGACTTATAAAAAGTCTACGTAACGACCGCGAACAGTGGTGGGTGGCGAAAGCAAAAGCGATGGAAAAGGCAGCGGCGATCGGCAACAGTAGACAACTTTTCCGCCTTATTAAAGAAACTGGTATTAAGAACCCGAATGTGAGTGAGACTATCTCGGAAAAGGATGGGATTATTATCCATTCTCAATCCAGGAGACTGGATCGATGGGCAGAACACTTTAGGGATCAGTTCAACTGGCCACGAGCCACTCTTCGGTTACCCACGATCTCCAGTCATCCTGAATGGCGAATCGATTTAAGTCCTCCCAGTTTACATGAAGTTGAGAAAGCTATAGGAAATCTAAGGGGAGGTAGAGCGGCAGGTCCTGATAGGCTTACTCCTGAGATGTTTAAGGATGGTGGTCCAGTTTTAACGGTTAGACTGACCGAGATCCTAGGTAGAATCTGGGAACTGGACGTAATCCCATCTGACTGGTCTCAGTCGCTAATTGTCCCAATCTACAAGAAAGGACAGAAGTCCTCTTGTGACAATCACAGGGGAATAAGTTTAACTAATATAGTTTCTAAATTGTTAGCCTCGATTATACTTAGACGTCTAACTAGAGCTCGTGAAGAGCAGACTCGAGAAAACCAGGCTGGTTTTCGACCTGGACGTGGTTGTATAGACCACATCTTCACACTACGACAGGTCCTGGAACATAGATACACATTTAGGCGTCCTACAACAGTTGTTTTCCTGGACCTTAAGGCGGCATTTGACTCTGTGGATCGTGAGGTTCTGTGGCAGTGTCTGTCATTAAAAGGTGTACCAAAGAAGTACATCAACCTTATACAAGCCCTTTACTCGAACACCACTGGTCGAGTGAGGGCTTATGGCGAACTGTCACCGGAATTCTCTACATCAAGTGGTGTCCGTCAGGGATGTCCACTTTCTCCATTCTTGTTTAATTTTATCCTAGAAATGCTACTAGACATAACATTATCCTCGTCTGAATTTTCAGGAGTAGACCTTCTACCAGGTGGCTCGCTTATTGACTTAGAATATACCGATGACATTGTCCTACTTGGTGAAGACGCTGAAAAAATGCAGAGTCTTCTGACTACCCTACGCAACAATGCAAGCATGTTCGGGATGCGGTTCTCACCCTCGAAATGCAAAATGTTGCTTCAAGACTGGGTTTCATTGGCACCTGAACTAGTGATAGGGAGTGAAGTAGTCGAACGTGTAGACCGCTTCACTTATCTTGGGAGTCTCATCAGTGCCGATTGCCTGCTGACTGACGAAATCGCAGCACGGATACAGAAGGCTCGATTGTCTTTTGCCAACCTGCGTCACTTATGGCGTAGGCGTGATATCCGTTCTCTAACCAAAGGGCGGGTGTACTGCGCAGCAGTTCGTTCCGTTCTCTTATATGGCTGTGAAACATGGCCGTTAAGAGTAGAAGATGTTCGTAGGTTACTAGTACTCGATCATCGATGCTTAAGAAGTATTGCTCGTATATCGTGGGACAGCCGAGTAAGCAATGCTGTCGTTAGGAAACGAGTACTAGGCAAGGATGGCAGATCAATCGATGAAGTGGTGAAACTTCATCAGTTGAGGTGGTTGGGACATGTGTTGCGTATGCCCAACCACCGACTGCCTCGACGAACTTTGTTTTGTAGTGTAGGAGTAGGTTGGAAGAAAGTTAGGGGCGGCCAAACCAAAACATGGCAGAAATCCATGAAGTCATTGACTAGTGGAGTGAGCCATGTCGGTAATTGTCGACTACCTGGTTGGGGTCCGCGAGATGATAATAATCGATGGTTAGAGACCTTGAATGACATGGCTCAAAATCGTTCGCAATGGCGCCGGTGCATTTATTCTCTGTGTTCTCTCAAACCCTAATCTTCTGGATTCTTCAACACCTCCAGTTTCGACTCTCTAAACTTTTCTTACTGAATCATACTTCTTCAATAGTATCTTCTAACCCTAACCTCTCCGATTACTTCTTATTCCCTTACTACCTCTTCTACTATTGGATTTGAATTGACAATTATATCTCTGTGCTGATGTGGTATGGCAACATGAACTGATGTACTTACGTACGAAGTTTTACGTTGCATCTGACTGACTGACTGGAATTCTTATGATGGATTCAACTGCAAAATCGTACACGAAGGACAGCTAACAGACTCCTTTGAGGTGAAGACCGGTGTCAGGCAAGGTTGCTTACTCTCACCCTTTCTCTTTCTCCTGGTCATCGACTGTATTATGAAGACGTCGACGTCTGGAGGGAAGCACGGTATCAACTAGACAGTTAGGACGCAGCTGGACGATCTGGACTTCGCAGATGACCTGGCTCTTCTATCGCACACTCAACAACAAATGCAAGAGAAGACGACCAGTGTAGCAGCAGCCTCTGCAGCAGTAGGTCTCAACATACATAAAGGAAAGAGCGAAATTCTCCGATGCAACACAACATGCACCAACCAAATCACTCTTAGTGGAGATGCCTTGAAGGACCTTAACACCTTTACATATCTGGGCAGCATCATCGACGAGAAAAGTGGATCGGATGCAGATGTGAGGGCACGGATTGGCAAAGCAAGTAAAGCATTTCTACATTTGAAAAATATCTGGAACTCCAAACAACTTTCAACCAAAACCAAAATAAGGATTTTCAATAGAAATGTCAAGACAGTTCTACTGTATGGAGCGGAAACATGGAGAACTACGAAAGCCATCATCCAGAAGATATAAGTGTTAATTAACATTTTGTCTACGCAAAATACTTCGTATTCGTTGGCCAGACACCATCAGCAACAACGAACTGTGGGAGAGAACGAACCAGGTTCCAGTGGATGAGGAAATCAGGAAGAAACGGTGGAAGTGGATAGGACACACACTACGAAAAGCACCTAACTGCGTCACGAGATAAGCCCTCACATGGAACCCTCAAGGCAAAAGGAAAAGAGGAAGGCCAAAGAATACATTACACCGAGAAATAGAGAAAGATATGAGAGGAATGAACAAACATTGGACAGAACTGGAGAGAGAAGCCCAGGACAGAGTTGGTTGGAGAAAACTGGTGGGCGGCCTATGCTCCATTGGGGGTAACAGGCGTAAGTAAGTAAGTAAGTACTAGTTAGTACTCATCAACAAGGTATAAGAACTGATGATTCCAGTGTGATTTGAATTATTGTCATCCAGCTTCACAGTATGAGATATTATCAATGATTGACAAGGGTAACGAGTAAGCTTTTGTAGGGCTACAACTACAATCAACTATTCATGCAATAAAATATATACATTTTAGTTGATTAAGTGTACATATACAGTATGGAACTTCCCGATCAATAATCAAGTCATTGGCACACCGACACAGAAAATTTGCAAGATGAGAGAATCAAAAACGACATGAATAGTTAGAGATGAGAAATTTAGCTCGCAATGCATAAATGTGAGCTAAAAATGGAAATTTTGTCATGACTATTAACGTAAAGTGAATAGAAGTGTGTCATTGCAACAGAATTGGTTTCATGTTACTCAACGTCTGTAATTATTGATTATCAATATAGTGTAGGCGGCATTTGTGAATCTGGAACACATTTTGTGAATTGGTTAACTTGCTTATTGTTTCTTCCAGCCTACTTACTGTTCAGTCAGTACACGTAGGAGTAGGCTGTGATAAGCAAGCATAAAACATGTACTAATAATATCAGTAAGTGAAAGCTTATAGCCTTAACAATTGTACTGCACTTCTTAATTGTGTTCTATACCTAATCAAAGTATTGTTAACATGGTATCATTAGCTGATTTCCATTATTCCGTGTATACAATACTCTCTAATTCAATTCCATATAAGATTTCGTGTAACGTTCGCAAGTAACAATAGTACGTAGCTTTCGTTCACATTGCATACTCATAACATTGTCGCATACAGTAGAAACGATTATTACTTAAAGAATTTTAAGTAGAGAATAGAAAAATACTGTACAATTTCCATAGACTTCACTTAAAAAAGACCATTTCAAATTACTGACTTACTTACGCCTGTTACCCCCAATGGAGCATAGGCCGCCCACCAGTTTTCTCCAACCAACTCTGTCCTGGGCTTCCCTCTCCAGTTCTGTCCAATGTTTGTTCATTCCTCTCATATCTTTCTCTATTTCTCGGCGTAATGTATTCTTTGGCCTTCCTCTTTTCCTTTTGCTTTGAGGGTTCCATATAAGGGCTTGTCTCGTGACGCAGTTAGGTGCTTTTCGTAGTGTGTGTCCTATCCACTTCCATGGCGCTTCTTCCTCATTTCCTCCTCAACTGGAATCTGATTTGTTCTCTCCCACAGTTCGTTGTTGCTGATGGTGTCTGGTCAATGAATCTGAAGTATTTTGCGTAGACAACTGTTAATAAACACTTGTATCTTCTGGATCATGGCTTTCGTAGTTCTCCATGTTTCCGCTCCATACAGTAGAACTGTCTTGACATTTGTATTGAAAATCCTGATTTTGGTGTTGATTGAAAGTTGTTTGGAGTTCCAGATATTTTTCAACTATAGAAATGCAGCCCTTGCTTTGCCGATCCGCGCCCTCACATCTGCATCGGATCCACCTTTGTCGTCGATGATGCTGCCCAGATATGTAAAGGTGTTAACGTCCTCCAAGGCATCTCCATCAAGAATGATTTGGTTGCTGCATGTTGTGTTGCATCGAATTAGTTATGTTAAACAAATCAACCATCTTTATTAACTGAAACTTCATGAGTTTATCAGTTCATATATAGTTCACTTCTTTTTCTCGCAATGACTGATCTTTACGATGCGATCCGGTTATCCAAAACTGAAGTAGTCTACAAACTTTTAGATTGAAAACCAACTATGCGTTGATCGATATTGTGTACAAATTTGTAATTATTGTTTCATTGATATTTACGCATATAAAACAATGCGATTGCATAATCGATATCACATATCACAATATGTGTTTGCCATGAAGGTCCTCGGTTCGACTCCTGACTGAAACAGCTGTTTGCTAGTTTGCTGATTCTCAATAATAATAATAGCACAACTAATTGTCAGATTGAGACGATTACAATCTAAAGATTAGATTAATATGGAATAAACCCTTTTAATAAAAATGAGAAAAAAAAACGTTATTTACTTGGATTGCATGAATACATGATACTGTTCCGAGTGTATTACCAGTAGCAGTTAGCGACGCACACAGTTTTGTATTTAATTGTTCTAAAATGAAAAAAATAAAGTGTTTTCTGTCATCAAAATCCATTTCAATTAATTAGCATTGGCTTGTACAAGTTAACAGCTACAAGAACTCAGTGAATAACAGATATTTGTTAGGATATTCATACAATATCCTAAGAGGATAGTTGGTCAATTCCTACTGGTCAATTTTATGGTCGTCCTAGATATCAATGCCACGTGCTCCAATGTTGTTTCTTATTGTTTGTCCTGACTATCAATGTCACTTTAAATGTTGATTCCTATTGGTCGTCTAAACTGTCAATGTCACAGACTTCGATGTTGTTTCCTATTCGACCAAAATGTATAAATACGCATTATCTGTAACGTTTTATGACCCGGATCACTAGTCCGGGATCCTGATTCTCTTCTGGACTCGGACCTCCTACTTTCTGGATGCTTGTAGAATACATGTTCTACTTCATATCAACTCTTCTTATTTTTACTCAATATGGGAGTTGGGATAATCGGATTTGCGTAGCATGTCGTGTCGCTGGATCCTCGCTTTCGTTTTCCGACTAGGTTAACTCGTAATAGTTCAAGCATATCAAAATGACGTGTTTACATGCAGGCGTAACAATATTAGATTCAAGTATTAGTATAGATAAAAACTATAGGATGTAAATTTACTCAGCTGTGACAAGTCCCAAGTAGAATAGTCGCCAGTGTTTTAGATTTCACAGTCCAACATGCACTAATTATATTCCAATTTGGTCATTAAAACTAATAGAATGATAAATCGAACAGCTTAAATCAGTCTCCTATTATTTTAAAGCTAGCTTTTAAGAGTGTGAAGTAGTTGTTTCATAAGGATACATACACAGCAATGGCTTTCAGTGGGTTTTTTTAGCCACTCATCAATCTATAGCATTGATACAAACATTGGACCAATTATGAAGAAACTTGGTAAGTGTAAATCAACAGCTCCGCCTGGAGCCCTTCTAGAGTGTCTGCCAGTCCCTAGCCCGGATAGAGAAGGAGGGTTGGGCATGCGGTTGGAGATTCCATCCCGTAGAAATCTAACTCGCTAAATAAGACGCTAACCAGAAAAATAATTCCCTGATCGGCGGCCTATTTTCCACTAGGAGTAACAGCCGTAAGTAAATAGGTAAGTGTAATTTAACAAATACCAAATTATGCTACTATTAATGATAAAATTTCTTCAGGTTAGAATTTCAGACAATCCAATTAATATTGTTTACTCTTGAAATTAAAATTAAGATTACATACAAAAGATATATAAAGTTGCAGATTCTAGTTGAGTATTAGAATAGTGTGCCTAGAATGATAAGTCATTCATTGTCTAATTACTGAAGTATTTATTGATCAGTGCTAATAATAATTGAGATTGAATATGACCAAGTTAGACATTAACACCGTTAGATACCGTCTCAGTGGTCCATCGGTTAGGGCGTTCGCGCACAATACCGAAGGTCCTGGGTTCGAATACTGCGGGGTGCAGGAGTCGTGGATGCGCACTGCTGATGAGTCCCATACCAGGACAAAACGGCCGTCCAGTGCTTCCAGGTTTCTAATGTTGGTCTAACATTGATCGATTCATGGTTTCAAAAATGTGTAACTTAACAATCTTCACAACCCCGTAATGCAAACTTATGATAATGTTAGAGATAAGAAGATTAAGACAGAACATAGGATTCAGCTAAAAAAAAGAGTCCATCCCTAGATTGTGCATTTTAAAACAATCTTTCGAGTTTTAGCTCTTACTGAGCCAATTAAAATATTTCACTGTAATTTGAAGGTATGAGAAATTGTATGAATCAAATATTGTACTGTAGTTCTCATAATTTAAAGTAGGTGTTTTTACAACTGATGTCACTCAATCATTATTTATTTATTAATCAGGGGTATAAAAATGGACCCCACGCGGAAATTTTCGGAATAAATAGTGCAAAAATCATTATCGGGAATTCGTGTGGCGTGGATATTTTCTTTTTTACCCAGTGATACCTATTCCGACCAATTGAGCTGAAGTCAGATTTTGAAAAAAAAATATCCACAGTCAAGTCATGCATGTATCATATTAAACAGACAAACATAATGTACAGTCAAGCCTTTCGGTTGTGTCAAGTTCAGTGAATGAGACAAGTAACTTGTGAGATTTTTGATTGTCGACTCAGAAATTAAATCAGGGTAATGCTAATATCTGAAATAATAGTAAAGGATTTATAGTTGAATGATCCGATCTACAGAGAACATGACACGCTCATATCATATTTTTGTCATTGTAGACAAGAAATCAGTGACTGCTCTCTCTATCCTATCACCATTAAAATTATCGATCGATCGTGGGGGGACTATATGATGACACAAAATATCCAATCCCAATTATCAAATCAGACTGAAGTCTAAGACACATCAACCACCATAGTTGAAAGTTATTCTTTCCTCTTGTCATAAAAAACTAGTAAACATGCACCAATAGTGAAGAGGAGATATTGAAAAACACTGATATAAAACACACACATAGGTCCATGTGATGATAATAATCGATGGTTAGAGACCTTGAATGATATGGCTCAAAATCGTTCGCAACGGCGCCGGTGCATTTATTCTCTGTGTTCTCTCAAATCCTAATATTGTGGATTATTCAAACCCTCTAGTTTTGAGTTTCTAAACTTTTCTCACTGAATCATACTTGTCGAATAGTATCTTCTAATCCTAACCTCTCCGATTACTTCTAATACCTTTACTAACTCTTCTACTATGGATTTTGAAATGACAATTACATCTCTGTGCTGATGTGGTATGGCGAGATGAACTGATGCACTTACGTACGTAGTTCTACGTTGCATTTAACTGACTGACTGACTGACTGACTGACACACATGGTCCAATACAATAAATAAAACCTAGGCTAGGGGCAGGGCAACAAAGTTCTTGACTAACACCAATGAGCGTAATACCATTTTTCAATGACAGTTATGGAAATCATTTTTTTTACATGTAGAAATCATGAATCAATCATTGTTAACACCATCATTAGAATCCTGGAAGCACTGGACGGTCGTTTCACCTTGGTATGGGACTCATTAGCAGTGTGTATCCACGACTTCTGTTACTCACAGTATTAGAACCCAGGACCTTCGGTCTTGCGCGTAACCAGTGGAGTTCACCCCTGTCAGGTGTATGCAGTTACCTACCGAAGACAAATAAGTGAGGTTGCTCAAAATCTGTAGATTAATCAAATTTAGACATTAATCCCGTCGGATCCAGAGGTTAGGCGTTCGCATGCAAGACCGAAGTTCCTGGGTTCAAATACTGTGAGTAACAGGAGTCGTGGATACGCACTGCTGATGAGTCTCATACCGGGACGAAATAGCCGTCTAGGGCTTCTAAGGTTTCTTTCTAGTGGTGGTCTAAAAATGATTGATTCATGATTTCTATGCGTAATATAATTGGCGACTGAACATGTTAGTAATTGTAATCAAGTTATATATTGCATAATGTCTCTTTTCTATTTGATCATTACTCTAATAATATCAATGATAATAACAATAAAACTGAACAAAAAAGAAATTTTATAATCATCATTAACAATCGTACTTGTATGAACATCTGATTCAATTGCTTTGCTCATGTTAAGAAAAGCCATTGACAATGTGGAAAAGTCTTTGCGAATACCTATACACATACGGGGAGAGAGAGAAGAGAAAGGTGACAGAGAAACAGTTTAAATATCATCAAGCATGATGATAAATGATACGAATATATACAATAAGTTCATTCATTCATTCATTCATTCATAGTAACTGCTGTGATCCATATCACAGTTTTGTAGCGTATACGTTTGAGTTTGTGCTACGACGTAGAACTTCGTACGTAAACATATCAGTTCAAAATGCCATACCATGGTAGCACAGAGATACAATTGCCGATTCAAATCCCACAAGGTAGTATAAATATTAGCAGTAATCGGAAAGATTAGGCTTCAGAGATATTATTCAGTAAGTATAATTCCGTGAGATAGATTTCAGAAGACAAAGATGAAGGTCATGAGGAATCCCAAATCTCTAGATTGATCAGATTTAGACATTAATACCGTTAGATGCCGGCTCAGTGGTTCAGAAGTCAGGCATTCACATGCAAGACCGAAGGTCTTGGGTTCGAGTCCTGTGAGTAGCAGGAGTCGTGGATGCGCAGTGATGATGAGTCCCGCACCAGGATGTAATGGCCATTAAGTGCTTCCAGAAATCTAATGGTGGTCTAAGAATGATCGATTGGTGATTTCAATTGCAATTATGCAACTGGTGTCTATAAACATTTCTTGTTTCAATTTGAGAAGAGATGAGGGAAGTATTGTGTTTAAAGTGTGCCCAGCAGAAAAAGATAAATTGTCATGATTCGCCATGGAATAGAAGATCAACCTTTAAAGTGGGAAATATAGCACCACCTACAAGGAAGCAATTGAGTAACTAATAAAAGAGACAACTAACAGATATAAGCCTTACGATAACGCCTTTAAGCTCACTGAAAGCAAGCTTTTCTAAGGGTCTTCATGTATTGATTTGAATTTCTACTGAGAATTTACTAATAAACACTAAAAATTTACCTAAAACTGAGAAAAAAACACTATTTGACACATAGTGTTCATGATGTAATCAATATATATATATATATATCGATGACGAATTCGGGAAACACATGAATACAGTAACAATAATAATAATAATAATAATAATAATAATAATAATAATAATAATCATAGCTTACTAGTACTTAATTTCCGATGATATTCATTAACTGTTTCACATAGAAATTTCGTTGATCTATCCAAATCAGCTAAGAATCGTTCAGCTGCTTCGGCTTTTTCAACTCTAAAATTGTCATCACAAAGCAATAACAACAAGCAGGATTATTGGAAAAGCTTAGAAAATAAGGCATATAATGCGAAAAATGGTAAATTGTATGATTTAATCTCTAGTGATGTTAAAAGTATGAGAGAAAACTACGCCAAAAACAGATTTTGATTGTCTTGAGGGAATCATCTCACTGCTGTCACACAATACAGGTGGAAGTATGACCTCAATTGTGAACCTTAAGCCGCTCCTTTTATTTGTAGGTTGGAAGAAAGCTAGGGGCGGCCAGACCAAAACATGGCAGAAATGCATGAAGTCACTGACAAGTGGACTGAGTCATGTTGGTAGATGTAGACTACCTGGTTGGGGTCCGTGAGACGAAAGTCACCAGTGGTTAGAGACCTTGAACGACATGGCTCAGAATCGTTTGCGATGGCGCAAGTGCATCCATTCTTTGAGCTCTCTCAAATCCTAATCTTCTGGATTCTTCAACACCTCTACCTTTGTCTTCTAACCTTATCTCACTGAATTATACTTCTTGAATAATATCTTCAAACCCTATTCTTCTTCATTACCATTAATACCTCTACTATCTTTATCACTATGAGATTTGATTTGACATTTGCGTCTCTGTGCTAATGTGGTATGGCAACATAAACTTATGTACATACGTACGAAGTTCTACGTTTCAACTGACTGACTGCTCCTTTTATTTATTTAAACAAATAAACGCAGTAAACAATTCAAGATTAAATAGCATAATACATATACTATCAGTCATGAATATGAAAGATCATCATACTCGAATGAGTAGTATATTTTCAACTTGAAATATCGCCACCTTGTATTACACTCAATTAACATGAGGAAGATGTGTGAATTACTTAGCCAATGATTATGATTAAGCCTATGGTGATTGTGAATCTACGGGAGTGATCACAATTCAGAGACTAGTGACACAAAGAACTGAAACATTGAAAATCACCAATGAAACTCAGAAAGAAAGAAGTAATGCAGAAGAAATTTGATATTTAACAAGCGGAAATAGGAAAACACTAACTGTGTATCAATAGTAACGAAAACATGACATTGGAACATAGAAACTTAGTGAGCTATAAAAGTAACAGTCGATCAGAGGCAATGCGGAAATCTGAAATTGGGACCAGTGCACGCCATTATCGTCACATGTAAGAACTAAAATTTATTTTAAAAAGATAGACTAAATAACATGGGATCATCTGTTTAGCAGAATGAAAACTTACGTATAGTCATGTGGTGTTTGACCACTTCTTGATTCGACTGCAAAATAAAAACGTCCACCTTGTAATTTATCAGTTTCTGCTTCACGTTTACCTGATTTCCATTTCTAAATTTTCAAGAAGCAAAAAAAAAAATGGATGAGTGTTAGACGATAAGACGATAAACGAAAATTGTACACAACCAGTTACGAACATGCACCGAGTCGATTATACAAATTTAATTAATTAATTAGTCAAGAAATGTGTGACAAATACCTAAAACCTAATCATTCCTAACTCAACAGACAGTCAGTCAGATGCAACGTAGAACTCCGGGTCTCTAGCCATCGATTATTTTCATCTCACGGGCTCCAACCAGGTAGTCGACAACTACCGACATGGCTAAGTCCACTCGTCAATGACTTCATGGATTTCTGCCATGTTTTGGTTTGGCCGCCCCTAACTTTCTTCCAACCTATTCCTACACTACAAAACAAGGCTCGACGAGGCAGTCGGTGGTTAGGCATACGCAGCACATGTCCCAACCACCTCAACTGATGAAGTTTCACCACTTCATCTATTGACCTGCCATCCTAACCTAGCACCCGATTCCTAATAACAGCGTTGCTCACTCGGGTGTCCCACGATATACGAGCAATGCTTCGGAGACACCTATGATCGAAACCAGTAACCTACGAATATCTTCTACTCTAACTGGCCATGTTTCACAGCCATAAAGTAAGACGGAGCGAACTACTGCGCAGTACACTCGTCCTTTAGTCAGAAAACGGATATCTCGCCTACGCCATAAGTGACGCAGGTTGGCAAAAGCCAATCTAGCCTTCTGTATCCGTGCTGAGATTTCGTCAGTCACCAGGCCATCAGCACTGATGAGACTCCCAAGATAAGTGAAGCGGTCTACACGTTCGACTACTTCACTCCCTATCAAACTCAACAGACAATGTTTATTAGTAGTGTAGAAGTATACTGGAAATTGGAGTGGCAAAACCAGAGGGAGTTATCAATTCATGAAATCTTTGACTGTTGGTCTGAGCCATGTTCAATAGACACATACAGACTACCTGGTGGAGATATGCACGATAACCGCAATTGGCGTCTGGAGATGTTGTGTGATATGACTCAGAAGTGCTAACAATAAACCAGATGCATATATTCTTTGACTTATTCTTGATCTTTAATCCCACTATTTCTTCATAAATATAGCTACTTCTTTTTGTCCCTTCGAATGATATTTCCAATGATTCGTCTTGTAGTTCATCATCGGTTCAAGACTAGTTCGATCCCCTGTTATTAATTTCATCGTTTTGTGTTAAAGTGACAATAGCGATTAAGACTGACGCAAATTTGTTGAGTTGATTATGAGTAATCTAGTAAATTAGTTGGATATGTATGGTACACGAATCAAATAACTATATTTGGAGCCCATCCGGGTTTACTACCAGTTCCAAGCCCGCCAAATAACATTACTGTCGTGGTAGAATTTAAAATTCCGGGTCAAATAGTTTAGTTAGGTAAAGTGTAACCTAATGTTTACGTATTTTCATCATACTGATTGCATACTAAGTAGCAGACAATAGAATGTATGTCAAGTTTCCAGTTCTGATCAAATTTTACACAAAAAGTTGCAGTATAGTGTTTACAAAGTTAATATGCTTGAAACTATTACGAGTTCACCTTACTCGGTAAATGGAACGAAGATCAACGATAAAGTGACAGGATAGGCTATTCTAATCCGTTTATCCCAGACCATGCTAGCTAGATCAAGAAGTCCTGATAAGGCGTAGAAAGTGTATTCAACAAGCACCCAGAAAATACGAGGTGTCTAAGCATACAAATCAAGTTTATTTATACAATGATAGAAACGCCCTTGGGAGAGCCACAAAACAGCGTACTATAATCATCCATCTACCAATGGCGGTCAAGGATTTTCCGGGTGAGGATCAACTAAATGTCTTTTGGCGCGAAACCATGGAAATTCAAAATTTCAGAATGAAATGACAAAAGCAGGACCTTTCCCAAGTGAGTTCTGGGGATCTAACCTGCCCAACACTACTCCAAGTGACTCAACATTGCGTGTACTAGGTTTAATGTTATGCGATTAGCAAAATCAGTAAAACTCCTAGGATTTGGTTTACACACATTAATAAAAAGAGGGAAAGAGGTATGAATCTGATTTGGTACATCCTAAAGTTATTCCACTGGCTTCTAGAGTAAAACTTTGAGACTTAAAAAATTTTTAATGGTTCTTTTCATAAGAATACTGTCTTCCCGGATTTCGGTGCTTGGAAAATCTGATTACAGCATATAAAAATCGTAGTGACTTTCAATGTAGTCACCATGTTGTTAGAACGATTTATTACTTCTTGTTAAGTTTCTTTAACCAAATTACTAGACTGATAATAATAGTAATACACTTAAGAAGGAACACTGTTACAACAACTGACCACCAGTCATAAGTAACGTAGAATCCAAGGAGGTAGATGAGACTGTCGAGAGAAATCAAGTGGTCAATATATTCAACTAATGCAATACATATTGATTGTTCAGGTGTCCAACGTAGAAGCAACATTTTATATGATGCGAAACTAGGTAAACTGGAATAACTTTCTGACCTACTTAACTTTTTATTACAGTGGTAGAGTAGTATAGACCGAAGTAATAAACACAGATCACAGTTTGACCTTCTAATAACCTAGTTCGTTTAGAAGTTTATTTGTATGCAACCATAAAGTCATGCTTTATAATCGCCATGGAAATGATTATTCAATTAGGTAAAACGATAAAAGTATACGGATAAATATCACCATACGCTCATTTCTTAAATAGTATTAATAATAATAACAACAGTACGCAGATGCAGGCACCAAGCGTTGACCGACAAGTTCCAAATAAGATGAAAAGTGCATCTTGAATTCCATTGCTTAACCATAACTCACTCCAAGAGAAACTTGTGAATGATGGCTACATGAAAACAATTCACACAGGAAATATATTGTTAGGATATTCACCAAATATCCGAAGAGTACTATTTTTGGTATTATAATCCTATTGGCCGATTCCTATTGGTCAAAATTATGGTCGTTTTAACTGTCAAAGTCAAATACTTCAATGTTGTCGCTTATTGGTCTTCCGGACTGTCAGTGTCATTTCAAATGTTCTTTCCTATTGGCCGTCCTAAACTGTCAATGTCACAGACTTTGATGCTCTTTCCTATTCGACCTTAATGTATAAATACACACTATCTGTAAGCCTTCATGATTCCGATTCCGTTTCTCCTGCCCACCTCTCTTCTGTACTCGACCCACTAAACAACTCCATCCCACGGTGTTGCGTTCTGATATATAGGAGATTTGGAAATAGCATTTTGGGTCGTATTGGAATATTTGAATTGGAAGGCGCTAGGACTGAATAGCTATACGTAGCAGCATTACAACATATATATAGGAGCAAGGAACTGAATATTAAATATATACAGACATACAATAAAAAATATGTTGATACATATGATTAAGAAACTATTATTATTATTACTATTATTTACAACAACAATTTACCTTGAAATCAGTACAAGTAAGAAAGTGTAAAAATACAGAACTATGCGATATAACTGGATGTTTACACATACGAGTTAACCATTGTTGTAACCATTTACGACGTTCATCAACAAAATCATCTTCATATCGACCTGATGATTAGATGCGAAGGAAAAAGAACGACAGTAAAATGATTGGGAATAATTTTAAAGTAATCAAACTGTTTAATTATTGAATAAGATATATGTGGAAATTCTAATTCTTACAGGAATAAATTTATAAATTGTACTCATCAATTATTGTATTTTTCTCTAGTCAGTCAGTCAGTCAGTTGCAACGTAGAACTTCGTACATAAGTACATCAGTTCATGTCGCCATACCACATCAGCACAGAGATATAATCGTCAATTCAAATCCAATAGTAGAAGAGGTAGTAAAGGTATTAGAAGTAATCGGAGAGGTTAGAATTAGAAGATATTATTCACGAAGTATGATTCAATGAGATAAGTTTAGAAAGTAAAAACTAGAGGTGTTGAAGAACCCAGAAGATTAGGATTTGAGAGAACACAAAGAATAAATGCACCGGCGCCATTGCGAACGATTTTGAGCCATGTCATTCAAGGTCTCTAGCCATCGATTATTATCATCTCGCGGACCCCAACCAGGTAGTCGACAATTACCGACATGGCTAAGTCCACTCGTCAATGACTTCATGGATTTATGCCATCTTTTGGTCTGGCCGCCCCTAACTTTCTTCCAACCTATTCCTACACTACAAAACAAAGATCGTCGAGGCAGTCGGCGGTTAGGCATACGCAACACGTGTCCCAACCACCTCAACTGATGAAGTTTCACCACTTCATCTATTGATCTGTCATTCTTACCTAGTACCCGTTTCCTAATAACAGCGTTGCTCACTCGGTTGTCCCACGATATACGAGCAATGCTTCGAAGACACCTATGATCGAAAACCAATAACCGACGAGTATCTTCTACTCTCATTGGCCATGTTTCACAGCCATAAAGTAAGACGGAGCTAACTACTGCGCAGTACACTCGTCCTTTAGTCAGCAAACGGATATCTCGCCTACGCCATAAGTGACGCAGGTTGGCAAAAGACAATCGAGCCTTCTGTATCCGAGCTGAGATTTCGTCAGTCACCAGGCCATCAGCACTGATGAGACTGCCCAGATAAGTGAAGTGGTCTACACGTTCGACCACTTCACTCCCTATCACTAGTTCAGGTGCCGATGAAACACAATCTTGAAGCAACATTTTGCATTTCGAGGGGGAAAACCGCATCCCGAACATGCTTGCATTGTTGCTTAGGGTAGTCAGAAGACTGCATTTTGTCAGCGTTTTCACCAAAAAGAACTATGTCATCGGCATATTCTAAGTCAATAAGCGAGCCACCTGGTAAAAGGTCTACTCCAGAAAATTCAGACGAGGATAAGGTTATTTCTAGGAGCATGTCTATGATAAAATTAAACAAGAATGGAGAAAGTGGACATCCCTGACGGACACCACTTGAAGTAGAGAATTCCGGTGACAGTTCGCCATAAGCTCTCACTCGATCAGTGGTGTTTGAGTAGAGAGCTTGTATAAGGTTAATGTACTTCTTTGGTACACCTTTCAATGACAGACACTGCCACAGAACCTCACGATCCACAGAGTCAAATGCCGCCTTAAGGTCTAGGAAAACAACTATTGTAGGACGCCTAAATATGTGTCTGTGTTCCAGGACCTGTCGTAGTGTGAAAATGTGGTCTATACAACCACGTCCAGGTCGAAAACCAGATTGGTTTTCTCGAGTTTGCTCTTCACGAGCTTTCGTTAAGCGTCGAAGTATTACTGAGGCCAATATTTTAGATACTATATTAGTTAGACTTATTCCCCTGTGATTGTCACAAGAAGACTTCTGTCCTTTCTTATAGATTGGGACAATCAGTGATTGAGACCAGTCGGATGGGATTACGTCCAGTTCCCAGATTCTACCTAAGATCTCAGTCAACCTAGCTGCTAAAACTGGACCACCATCCTTAAATATCTCAGGGGTCAGTCTATCAGGACCTGCAGTTCGTCCTCGCTTCAGATTTCCTAACGCTTTCTCAACTTCATTAAGACTGGGGGGACTTACGTCGATTTGCCATTCAGGATGACTGGAGATCGTGGGTAACCGAAGAGTGGCTCGAGGCCAGTTGAACTGATCCATAAAGTGTTCTGCCCATCGATCCAGTCTCCTGGATTGAGAATAAATAATAGTCCCGTCATTTTCTGAGATAGTCTCACTTACACTAGGATTCCTAATACCAGTTTCTTTAATAAGTCGGAAAAGTTGTCTACTGTTGCCGATCGCCGCTGTCTTTTCCATCGCTTTTGCTTTCGCCACCCACCACTGTTCGCGATCGTTACGTAGGCTTTTTATAAGTCTGCGCCTAAGTTGACTTCGTTCTTCATCATGTTCAGAGCCAGGTGGGATGAGTTTTCGGGCATCCATCAGGTCGGTGGATGCTACTGAGATCCACGGTTTCATTCTAGCCTTATGGTCAACCTTACTAGCAGATATCACTGCTGTTTCCACAGCCTTTTTGATATCATTCCATCCTGCTTCCGGATGGGAATCGCTTAAATGGTCGCCTAACTGTCTTTCTAGTTGTTCCTGAAATATATTTTTCGCCCTATTATCATTAAGTAAAACCCTAAGAGGCTTTCTTACGGTGTCTTTCCTACGCCCAGTAAGCTTCAAACAAATACGCGCTCGCACTAGAGCATGATCTGAATCTAGACATGTGCTCCAGAACGAGCGACAGTCTTCTATCGAACCCCTCCATCGGTGGCTGATGGCGATGTGATCTAGTTGAGTCCAACGTTGAGACGACTTTGGAGGTCGCCAGGTCAACAGATGCTTTTCCTTATGCCTAAAGTTGGTGTTTGCTAAGAATAGGCGGTTGTCTGAGCATGCTTGCAACAGACGGTCACCATTGTCTGTTCTCTGAGCCGCGACACCATAACATCCACCAAGGTGTCTCTCCTGCTCACTTAGTCTACCTACTTGAGCATTAAAGTCACCAGCCATTATTACTATATCAGAGCGCCTAGCTTTTTGGAGGAGGTCCGAAAGCTTTCTGTAAAACTCATCCTTAACCTCGTCTGAACTGCATTCAGTGGGGGCATAGGCAGATACGACGAAGAGGCAACGGCGATTGTCCCTATCTTTCCGAGTCCTTACTGTCCCGTTTAGTCGGACAGCGCACAATCGACTATCTATTGGGATCCAGTCAAGGAGAGATTGTTCTGCCCTACGACTCAATGCTATGCCTACGCCAGCAAGACCCCTGGAAGCAGCATCAGGGCTACCGGATACACGAAGAGTAAATCGGGCTGCTTCTTTATTTTGACATGGTGTGGCCAAGTGTATGACGTGACTCGGATCCTGTATGCGCGTTTCCGAGACGCAGCATACATCGATGGCACGAGATTCTAAAGTCCTAGCTAAGGAAGCCTGTTGCCCTATTTGACACAATGTCCGTGCATCAAATGCTCCAACATGTAGTCTAGAGCGAGGTTTAAGGAGACCAGGAACGACGTTTCGCGAACTCGTATCGTCTGCATTAGCTGTGCACTGTGATGAATGAATGTGAGAAGAGTTAGTCGTGGAGATAAGAGAGACATTAGGGGGTGTAGGAAGGATTTGATTTTGACCAATTTGGTCTCGCGTGCTGTTATGGATGAAATGTGAATTAATGGCTACATTAGTGGACTTTTAATCAAGACAACAATTTTCAAGTCACACTGTACCTATTTCGATATGACTGAAGGACAAGCGATTATTGAACCACGATTAGATATATCTAGTGAAATATTAGTCGCGATTGCGTAATCAGTGTAGACAGATTTGTGATTATGCATTGCACACATCATAGTATCTTTTAGATTGTAAACTGTTGTTCTCAATTCTAATTGCCGGTCGATAATTATGTCAGTGTACAATTCTCTGGTTGATAACTAGTGCTTAAAAACACGATCGAATTTCAAGGGTGGCTGAATCAAATTTCTATGTGAAATTTAAATTTTTCTTTTACACAATAGTCATAAACTGACATCAACCGAAATATTATTCCAAAATGAAATGTTCTATTTACTTGTACGAAACAACTGTCTAATACACGCCTTGGATTTTATTCATTTTCTAACGTTTTATATACACATTAATTCATGATGAAATAACTATTAACGACCGAAAAATAATTGGAAAAAAAGACAATAATTATTTGTTAGGTATGAAACACCTTATCAACTTTTGAAATAATAATTCAATGATAATCATCTGAACGTTGATAAATCATAACTACACGGGATGAACTTTGTTAGAAATAGGGGACAATGCATAAAACAAAGATGGGCATTACACGGAGGACGGAGTGGGGAATTATTGGTGATATTAAGGCATAGGTGTAGAAAGCGAACGAACGTAAAATAATAAATTTAACTCAATACTAATGGATTGATGATTGAATCAAGTGAAAATTATGATAAGGACATATGATTGTGAAAAGGTTGTAGACACACACACACACAAACACACACAAGTATGCATTCAACAAATGCGAGCTGTCAATGCGTTATTGACGAAGAATTAAAAACAATCGAAAGCAGAAAATATGCTTTCTTTTTACTGAAATTATGAATTAATTGCTGTTAGAACATCATTAGAAATCTGGAAGCACTGGACGGCCGTTTCGTCGTGGTATGAGACCACGACATAGGCGCATCCACGACTCCTGATACCCACAGGATTTGAAACCAGGACCTTCGGTCTTGCGTGCGAACATCTAACCGCTGAATCACTGGGCCGGCATCTAACCGTGTTGATATCTAAATCGGGTCAACCTAGGGATTTTTCGCAACCTTACCCATTTGTCTTCGGTAGTTAATGACTACGCCCAAAAACGGCTGAACTCCACTGGTCACGTCTTCTCACTAGAACTCACAGAATTTCTTCACGAAGATAGTGACTAGTGAACACATTGTACAATTTTTTATCATAGAGATATGGAGATTTACTGATGATTTCAGTAATAAACAACAATTTCCATATCTCAATAATGAAAAATATTCTTTTTACTGTTTCGTTCGCTGCAGCTAAATAATC